AATTCTAAGAAGAAAGTAAACCTACAGACATCGGTCTTGTTTCCACCATGTGTAGATGATTAGGGTAGGGTGTATTTGAAATGTATTAGTCACAAATCAACTCATTTTCCTGCAAGGAAAGTCCTTGAAAGTGGGATTACATAACAGCAGTGTATCTCTTTAACTAATATTCAAATGGTGTGAATGATGATAGTTTTAGGTTTAAATGACTGATAAATCACAAAGCTAAATATGTAAGTGATAATTAGGGGTCTATTTATAAAAACAGATAATTGGGGACATGGTGAGATGCATGTAAAGGAGTTCACAGAATGGGTAAAGGAGATCACCATTTTAATTCAACTCCTTATATATGCTTTTCACTTCTTAGTATAATGCTACATTATAATAAAAGCTTACGTTTATGATCTGTGAAGTAGTCTAATACAAAATAACTATTCTTATTAGTCTGCTATAGCTGTATTTACTGTATAAATGTAAGGTATTAATTTCTATACCTGTCCTTGTGGAAGTTTACTGTAGCAAATTTTACGGCCAGTTAAGATTTATATATGTATAGTACAATCACTGAAAATGTATGTTATTGACTAAAAACAAACATATGATAGCCAGGGTCACATGGAAAGACTGGTGTGACCTCCTTTACATTTAAGACTTACCTCTAAATGTCACATAGACTAGTCTTAAACATTTATTAACCAACTCTTTGCTGATATTTGGTTAAATAATAAAGCAAGTTTGCTGATAAATGTCCAGTATAAATTTAAACTGCTGTTAACAAAAGTTTTCATGGAACGAAAACTGTTGTTTTAAATAATTCTTTTTATAGCACATTTTATGTTTGGAATACGTATATAGTTAGGTGTTCTGGATTAGCTCATTATATTAGAATTTGAAATAATAATCTTTATTTTGACAAATGATGTGTAACTGAGTTTTCAATAAAGAGGTTTCTTACTGATTTAGATTTTTTTGTTTTTTGCCTTTTTCCTCTATGTACAATATAATCTGGTAAAGGAGAACACGTGAAAAACAGTAGTCATCTTCATCAAGATGGAAAAATATGACAGAATGTAGATCGAGTGCTAGATTTTTGGCACAAGGTTTTCCAATAATTATATTTTCAAGAACTGTATAAATCATTCTTATAGGAAATTTTTTTTTCAATATTTTCCAGTTGAAAAATGAACACTTAAAAAACCCTGGCCCATATACTCTTGTCGTTCTTCTCTATTCATTTCTCAATAATTGAAAATTAATCGTTGACACATTTAACTTTATAAAAATGTGCCAACTTACTAGTTATTAACTGCTAAGCTAGTAAACTCATTGTCATGATATAAAAGACTGTTAAGTTTATATATTATTGATTAATTTATTTTTGTGAGTGAATATTTCATTACTGTTTAGTTTTTGTTAAAATATGAGTTAAAAGCAGATGACTGTAGGAAGTTTTGTTAATTATTCATTGACGTTGAGAATATAGATTTCTAGAAGGCAGGCAGACGATTAAGTGATAGAGATATAAATATTGTAAGACGAGTGGAAACAGCAGACATACAATAGCAGAAGAGAGTAAAGGAAGAAAAAGTTCGGCATGAAGTTAACCACCATAGAAGTGATAGGCCTAACGTTTAAAATGTTAAGAGTAAGACTAACAGTAGAAAAGGAGATAATAAGAATAATTTATTCCGTCAAAGCGTGGTTCTAAAGTAATTGAATCAGCCTAAATTCACTTTGACAGAAGGAACATAGGATATTTTGAAGAAAAAAGATCAAACGATTATGGTACCTCGCGTCACAATTGTATGTGAATCACACGCAGGATACTAGTGAGATAATAACAGAGAAGATAGTCCGTCTTGTCAACCGAAATTCTAAAGTAATTGAATAGGCCTATGTGGATATTTGACAAGAAGAAGAGAACTACATATATAGTATAGTGTTTATGGTATGCCTATAATACCTATTGTGTTGAAGAATTTGTTGTACATAGGCTTAACTTCTTCTGAATATGTATATTATTTTGAAAACAAGTAAAGTGTGTGTTGTTTATTCATTGTTAAATTTATCATTAACAAGTCACAGACACCTAATGTAAAAGAATACTAAGTTTAACAACAACACAGTAGATATTTATACTATTAACAAATATAAGTAAAAGCCTTTTATTTTGACAGTTGGAAAACATTATATTTTAAATTCTGACACTCGTATATCATTAAATTTGTGATAGCAGACAATATACGTACTTAATACTTGTGAAACTATACCAATCAGTAAAAGTATTTAGTTTATTCTATAAAGTATTGCATCATATCGTTATCATGACCTTCTGAAGATTTACAGTTTGATTTACAACCTCCAAATGGATGGATGTTATTACACCATCCAATATCACCCAAAAGGATTAGCATTTTTAAAATAACAGTATTACTTTATGTTTTTAGGATAATAACAACACATTTGATATCTTCATAAATTATAGATAAGAAATGAGATTACCTTAATGTGCGTGTTTTCATCTGTCTTCTGTGTTACCTAAACGTCTGATTAAATGGAGTCTGTAGAGGAGATTTTCTTGTTAACCATACGATCCTTTTTCTTTGTGGTTTTCTGTGGGCTAAAGCAATTATTTAGAATTGTTTGTGAAGTAGTATTGCTATTATTAACCCATCGATTATGGGTTATTGGGGCGTTTTGTTCGCTCCCTATGTAGTAAGTTAGCTCAGGAACAGACACGTTTCTTCTCTGGCAGAGTTTGTAGAACTGTGGGCGCTGGGTAGAAGTCCAGGTACTGGAATTACCATATATAGTGGATAGAGTTTTCTGTTAAGGAGAGACTAATTATTACTAAAATAACTCATGCTACTTGAATATACAATTAATATCAAATCTCATGATGTACTTATATTTATGGACTAGGAGAAGTTAGGACTATAAATAGCCAAGTCATACAAGTGTTTTCGTTTAATCATATCTACTTGTTGGACAATGTCCTTAAGTTGCAAAGAACAGAAGATATTCGCAACTGAACCAAATATTTCAGTGATGGGGACAAACGCTAAATTGTTATATAATATTTTATCAAAGACAAATTAGCAGACAAGGTAAACTACCAAAGTAACCAACCCTGCTTATGCAAGAATTGAAATAATATACTTGTACTTTATTGGTAATAATCATTATAAATTTTCTCCAGTAATAGAAATATAAAGTTAAATCGAATTTTATTTCAAATAATAAAAAATATTATATATATATATATATTTATTGCAATGTGGCTATAAAATATTTCACCACACCATGTGGTAACACAATCATTACCTGTTTCTAAGAACAGTGTTGTATTCAGATGGCTATAAAATATTTCACCACACCATGTGGTAACACAATCATTACCTGTTTCTAAGAACAGTGTTGTATTCAGAGGGTGTACAGGAGGAATTCCTGCTGTGAAAAACACCCCCCTCCCCTTGAAAGGTCTGGATTCAACATTGTCTAAGACTGACCTTTGTTAACGTTCTACTCTTTAGAACAGGAGCTGTGTTTTGATCTGCTGAAATGACAATCGTGTAGCCGTAAGAAACAGGGGGAGTGCCACGCATACATTTCTTGTTTGTTGTTATAATTACAAGTCGGTGAAATTTTTCTTCTGTCTCAAGTGATTCTGCATCTCTCACAAAGGGTATCACAGGTTGAACCTTCAGCACTTTCCTTAAGCTCTACAAATAATAGTGAAAAGAACCTTGCTGTTTAGGTAGTTATTTCATTCAAGATATTGGAGCTATGGTTGAATATTCTATTCATGAAATAAAACTATCGATTTAAAGAAAAAACATGTTTATAAAGTCAATGAAACTAACAAGGTAATAGTTATGTCGTATTATGTGTGTATTTAATGATTATTCAAAAACGGTTAATAAATTATTATAAAAAATACAAATATTGAACGACAACTAGCCGAATGACCGTATCTGCTTATTGTCCACTAGAACACTGTCGATTATTATATGCAACCAGTCTGCTTATGACAAAGAAACACCGATAATACAATATAAGAAACGTTATTTGTGAACGATGAGTAGAAGACTATCGACCTGGCCAGTCGTTCTTCGCTAGGCATAATTCCACTGACGTGAGATAACAAACTTCCATCATGACGAACCATAACAAACCTCACATAGGATGAAAGTGTGGAACATTACCGAAAACTTTGGATGTTCATACTTTTTAAAACAAAAGATCTGGATCTGTTGACTCAACATAATGAACCTCAACCTTCCTACATCTCTGTAAGATATAATTATAGTGATTATGTGATGTGACATGGAAAACTTCAACCATGATTAAACATTAGTGATTGATGTGGAAATGTATTCATTAATAGATTCTAGAGTCTGACTATTAGAGATTCTAATCAAGCGATATTACTTTTTCTTTTCAGTTTACACATAACATTATTCTACACCAACCTCATTGTGTTTTAGACAAACAAAAATTTTAAAAGAAGCAGTATTTTGAAAGAGATGTAAAATTTACTGAATTTTTGTACCAACCTTTGCTTTTTTAACTTTTGAGTCTCTGAGGATCCTAAACAACTGATGGATGACAAACAGTGGAATTGGCGATAAGATAGTAACAAATAAAATCCAACCGACGAAAGATTCCAGATGCTTATGGTGTATACCAATGCTTGGGCTGGAGTTATATATTGTATAAAACAGTATGACCTAATGATAAAAAGTTGACAACATAAACTACACGATTTGTAAGTACAATGTCAATAAGTATTGAAGAAAGAGCCAGTATATGTCAGTTTTATAAACACTCCTCAATATTTCCTGTATTTTATGACATTGTTTTTCACTTTGTTTTATGGAATTATAAAACAGTTAATTGTTTTTATCAAGAAAATATCAACTAAGCTACTACCGAGGGAAAAAAATAGGTCATTTAAATTGTAATTTTGAGACTGCTATGACACGAAACAGGAAAATTTACATCGTATTTATAAACAGAGTAACAACTGACTTGTAAAATATAATGTATTATGTAAACATTTATGATTAATTCTTAGTATAGATTCTTGAGCGAATCGTGTTTATAACTAATCACTGTCAAAAACTATAGCATTCAAGACTTATATAAATATATATATATATCTAAAATCAGCACTATAAAACAATATGGAACTTAATATAAACTAGAAACAATATAAGAATATTGAAACTCAAAATTATACCTCCGTTATCATTCCTTGTTGTCGTCCTTAAGTCTTAAAGGATAATGCCTGTGGTCATATCACCAAAATACGTTGGAGATATTCTGTGTATCAGGTAAAATCCAAACGCTGATGTAAAACTTGCTACCAACTAGGGATAATCAGTTAAGGGTTAGGAATTGAGTGCTTGAAGCCACAACGTCTCAACTCCAACTGCATTTCGCTGCCTGCAGCCAATTGTGGGAAGGCAGTTACTCTTAGTAGAGAAATAAATTTAATGTAGAATTAAACTAACTTTAGAGGGCGTTAGTTACTTCGTTTAAGTAGTTGGTTTAATTGTCACTTTTAGAAGAGTTCAGTATACGGGGGCGTAAAGACTAACTTCAGGTAGCTGGGCTTGTCTGAGCTCACCTGGTTTATGCTTGAACGGTAAGGGCCTTATATTTTGGTTAACATCATTTATAATATCAAATAAAAGGAAGGAGGTTGGAAGTTATATAGAAATTAAGGGTGGCTTAGTTATACTATAAGGATATTATATCATTATTATTCATAACATCAATTAAAAGGGTGGAGGTTGGGATTTCTGTATAAATTAAGGGTGGCTTAGTTATACTATAAGGATATTATATCATTATTATTCATAACATCAATTAAAAGGGTGGAGGTTGGGATTTCTGTATAAATTAAAAGTCCTTATAGTAGAACTAAGCCACCCTTAATTTATACAGAAATCCCAACCTCCACCCTTTTAATTGATGTTATGAATGATAATAATAATATCCTTATAATAGAACTAAGCCAGTTATATTATTATTATTCATAACATCAATAAAGAGTGGAGGTTGGGATTTCTGTATAAATTAAGGGTGGCTTAGTTCTACTGTAAGGATATTATTATTTATAACATCAATTAAAAGCGTGGAGGTTGGGAGTTTTACTTCGTAGACTTTTTTGGGGGTAGTTTAATAACTGACTGCAGGCAGCGAAAGGCAGTTGGAGTTGAGACGTTGTGGCTTCAAGCACTCAATTCCTAACCCTTAACTGATTATCCCTAGTTGGTAACAAGTTTTACATCGGCGTTTGGATTTTACCTGATACAGAGAATATCCCCAACGTATCTGGGTGATATAACCACAGGCATTATCCTTTAAGACTTAAGAACGACAACAAGGAATGATAACGGAGGTATAAGTTTGAGTTTCAATCTGTCTTTGGTTTATATATATATAAAGGTAATGCATACCAAGATTGAGAAGGGTGTCAAACATGTCCACATTAAGAGCCAAAACTTTGGCAACCGCTTATTCAGAGTATTGGTAACATCGCTACAAAATCTTTGCCCTCCTACAAAAAAAATATCAAGATTCACCTTATTAAGATCTAAAACATGTAATGAGTTTAAAATATCAAATAAATAGGTCTCGTGAAATCTAACACCATTTATGATTCATGCAATAAATATAAAAAAATTAATTTTACAGTAGTGTTATTTTTGTACAAAACTAATAATTCCAACT